GTTTTGTTGTTGTTGTTTTTTTTTTTTTTGTTATTTATATATAGTTTTTTGTTCTTTTGCCCCCACCTTTCACCAACTTTCTCACCGGACAAAAGCATAGTCAAATAAGAAATTCCCTAGATTAGGAAAAATAATAATAGATAATACAAATTTTATTTTCCAACGCAAGACCATATTCAAGTTACTAAAACAATATTGCACCATTCAGAACCCAACTCTCAAGTAAAACATACATAAAAAAGAGAGAAATATATATATCCTTTTTTTTGCCATATTATAAAGTTTAAAGTTGATAAAGTGTCTTCAAATTGCATGAAATCGATAATTTGCCTCATTAAATTTGAAATTTTAAAATGACACAAAATTATTAAATTGACAATGAATTCTATATCAATTTAGGTCTTTGAAGTTTATGAAAATCAGATCAAAATAGGTAATATTTATTGAATTTTTGACGATTCATTGGCGACATGATGTGTGTATAGAAAAAAAAAATTATTTTTCGATGATCAAAATATTTCAGTTTTAAGTGGAAAGTGTCATTTAAAGATTTGCAATACGAGTTTTCTAATGAGTCAAGCCTTGTAATGTTTTAACGACGGAATTTTAGTTACCAATTTAGAAAAAGTTAGATGTTTGTCAGTGTGTTATCATAAAATTTATTTAGTTAAAAACCTCATCTCGTAGGCTTCTCAACGAAAACTCCTAATTAAAAATTAGATATCTAAAAAATATAAAATTGTACTCTCAATGAAATCTCCTAATTAAAAATTAGATATCTAAAAAATATAAAATTTTACTATGCACACATGTTGTCCACATTTTGGATAAATCATATTATTTTGTTCTAATCATCAAACTCTTTAAATGCCCCAATTTACTTTTTTGTTAATTTAAATTCGATTGCAAAATCATTGTGTATTGCTTTATTTATTTATTTTTGTGACGTTCTAGAATGTTCAACATGAGGAGGCAAACCGTCAATTAACTCAATTATCTCGTACTCTTCCATTAAATTGAACACTATTGATATACATCAATAGTGCTCTGTGAGGATGGTGTTACTCTACTTATTAAGTGTTATGTTTTGTTGTGTTGTGTTGTTTTGTTGGTATCTGTCGTGTGTCGTGGTGTTGTGTTTTTTTAGTCTTTTGGTGTTATTTATTCTCATTCGCAGGAGTTGGATTATCCATTATGTGATATGTTTAGTTTATTAAGTTATTTGTCTTGTGGGGGTGAGTTAGAGTTGTCTCTACTCTTTAGACGTCCGTCGCAGAGTTGTCTACCCAGATTCAGCTAGATGGTTGTTTGGTTTTTTCTAGTTCTAGTTGTATTTATGTGTTGTTTTATCTATAAATCTATCGTTTAAAAAAAATAAATATATAAATCAAAATAATCACATATTTATAGTGAGCATATACATTAAAAATGATCACCAACTATGTACAATATCTCATAAATGTTTAATTACATAATATCATGTATGATGTGCTGATTTCGCTCAGCAGTAGAGTAATGATATACAATACAATCAATCGTTATAGCTACTTTCGCATTTTTACTTTTGCACCAAGTCAAAAACTCAGCAGTAATGATATACAATATCATCAACCATAATAGCTACTTTCACATTTTTTACTTTTGCACCAAGTCAAAACCAAGGCTATAATTATGAAACATTATAGTAATTAACTTCTTTATCAAGTCAATACAAATATACAATAGCTATTATTACTAACCTTATTAAAAACTATTCGCCAGTCGAATAAAATTATTAATCCATGCCCACCTAATCTATTCCTCACACAATTTAATTATTTATTAATTAATAATATTTGACTCGGACTATCAGCAACAAAAAAACGCACGAAGCTCAGCGGCCCCCAAATTAGCTAACACTCACATATCGTACGAAAAACCTTCGAGCAATCAATGCCGGCCGATCGTACCAGCGTCCGCATCGTCGTCGTCGGCGATCGCGCCACCGGAAAATCCAGCCTGATCGCGGCCGCCGCCGACGAGAACTTCCGCCCGGATGTCCCGCCGGTCCTCCCTCCGACTCGCCTCCCCCCCGACTACTATCCGGATAACGTCCCGATCGTTATCATCGACACCTCGTCCAGGTAAATTATTCACCTCTCCGTGCTTTGATTCGATTGTGTGNCTTCTCATGTATTCATTTGTGTGCCGATGCAGTTTGGAGAACAGAGGGAAGCTCGCTGAGGAATTGAAGCGTGCTGATGCGGTGGTGGTAACGTATGCGTGCGATCAGCCTTCGACGCTGAATCGCGTCAGCTCGTTTTGGCTTCATGAGCTTCGCAGATTAGAGGTTGAAGCTGAATTTTATTGTTGATTCAAGTGCTTCTTTTTCTTTTTAAAAGCGAAAATATGATTATGCCACGCTCATTCGTTCGTTGAATCGCTGGTTTTATGTTTTGGAGATATCTAATTGGATATCTGACTGGAATTTGTTTGGGCTGATTTAATGATGCACTAATCTCTCATAATTTAGTTGGCATATGAGTGAACTCGAGTTGCTTGTAGTATCAATATATTTAGAGGTATCTAATTGGATATCTGACTGGAATTTGTTTGGGCTTATATTATGATTCACTAATCTCTCATAATTTAGTTGGCATATGAGTGAACTCAAGTTGCTTGTAGTATCAACACATTTAGAGGTATCTAATTGGATATTTGACTGGAATTTGTTTGGGATGATTCTATGGTTCACTAAACTCTCACAGTTTAGTTGGCATATGAGTGAACTTGAGTTGCTTATATAGTAATAATACATTATATAATGATATGTTCTTCAACAAGTTAGCAGATGACAGACCATTTTTTGGTGTTATTAGTTGTTACATTTTACTATTCCCACAATTAGCATGAGAAACAAATAGGAGTGGCAACTAGATATTTGAGACTACCTCGTTTAGCTTATTTCACAATCATCTTTTACCCACATGGTCGTCATTTTCTAGCATACATGACCGAATACCGAAACACTTTGGCTTATGTCGAGAAAATTGATTTATTATCACATTTTTGGTGTTTGTTATTATTGTATGTAACTTGAACATGGCTTGTGAATTGTCAATACTTAGATCAAGGCGCCAGTGATCGTGGCTGGTTGCAGGCTTGACCGGAGAAATGAGGAATTCAATTTGAGCGTTGAAATGGTGCCGCTCATGCATCAGTTTAGAGAGATTGAAACTTGCATAGAATGTTCGGCAGCTAACTTGCTTCAGGTTTGAGATAGTGATTGTGTTTTGCTGATGCTGCTGTACTATTTCTTTCTCGTTCAGCAATATCAATAATTTGAAGATAACCACATGTATTTCTGATATTTATAGATTCAAGAAGTATTCTACTTTGCACAAAAGGCAGTCCTTCACCCAACAGCCCCATTGTTTGATCAGGAAACCCAAGCTTTAAAACCTCAATGTATGAGAGCACTGAAGAGGATATTCATTCTTTGTGATCATGATATGGATTGTGCTCTTAATGATGAAGAGCTCAACGCATTTCAGGTTGTATTTGTTTTTTTCACCTCTCGGGTTTCTTTATCTTATTTTCTATTTCTTGAAATATAAAAAAGGACCAGGGGAGATTTTCCTTCCTTTCCATTCTGTATAATCCCATTTTTCTCTTTGTGGTTAAATGCAGTTCACTCCGATTTTTTTTTTCCTTTCTTGCTATGCGTCATCTTCTCTCTCTCTCTGTCCATCATTATTGATTTTGGTTCTGTTGAATCTCCACCCTCTAACTTCCATTTCTGACGAGCAGGTTATGTGTTTCAATGCTCCTCTGCAACCTGCTGAAATAGATGGTGTTAAAACTGTGGTTCAAGAGAAGTTGCCTGAAGGAGTTAATGAACGTGGCCTTACCCTAACAGGTTTCCTGTTTCTTCATGCTCTTTTTATAGAGAAGGGCCGAATAGAGACCACATGGGCTGTTTTGAGAAAATTTGGGTACAATGATGAGCTAAAACTCAGGGATGATTACTTATCAGTTGCCAACAAGAAGGCTCCAGATCAGGTGATTTTTGTAACCAAACATGTCTTAAGTTATTATATTGTACCTCTGTAATAAATTTCTGCTACAAATAGAAAGGCCCGATATAGGTTTTAAAACAATTTTTTTGTTATTATTTTAAACAGTTGTAGGTTTAATTTCCAAGCCATCATGCCTGATATTGCGTACAACTTATTGTTTTAGTTGCTCTGCTCAATAACCCGTTTGTGATTAGGTTTGTAACTGTTCAATTAAATATTAATATATAATCACAATCTTCCACTGATGGCCTCAGATTATTTGTAGAGAAGTTCCCTTTTAGCACTAGAGATTTCTTAACCTCATAATCAATAGTTTTCAGGTGGTTGACAGTGTCACTTCTTGAAATTAATTTTGATTGCACTTATTATGCAATACAATTGTCGACATGTGGGGCCAGAGCGTTGAGTCCTTTTATTATCTATGTGAGCAAATAACCTATCTTTCTCTTACAGCTTCTATCTCTATATGCTTGTCTTTTGCAGAGTGTTGAATTGACAAGTGAAGCGATAGAGTTTCTAAAAGGAATCTTCAGCACGTTCGATGATGATAAAGTATGTCAATGTTTTATTATTAATTTGTAATCTATTTCAAAGCTTAGCGCGTGTGTGCCAGGAGAGCTGACTGGTAATCTTCTGAAATTTGCTTTATTACAATGTATCAACATCAAGATGGTTGGGTAATAAAATGGAGAGATAATATGTTGCCTGAACAATTAGCTTGTCATGTGAAGTAGGCTATGACAACCAAATGAAAACCTGTTTCTTGATTGGGTAATAAAATGGAGAGATAATATGTTGCCTGAACAATTAGCTTGTGATGTGATGTAGGCTATGACAACCAAATGAAAACCTGTAACTATAAGCAGTAAACAGACAGATGTCCAATGCAAAAAGCTCGACTTCTTTCTGTTTCTATACTCTACAGCTTATTTGGTAATATCTAGGGTGGGTAAAAAGTTACATTAATCAAATAGTAGTATTTCTAAACATTAAAACGCCTTTCATCTTGTTAGAGTTATTGATTTGGGGGAAGGGTTACGGTCCCATAGAGGTGAAGCACACCATAAGATGGTGTGTTTAGGTGTACCTAAGTGAGGTTCCATCTCAAAACCAATTGGTGATGGGGAGTAGTCCACTAGACTTATAAACTAGGCCCATTTACTATGTAGAATAATGTGAATCAATGTGGGACAGCTCACAAGTGATATTCCTACACACCTCCTCACTTGTAAGTCCTTCATAAGCCCAAACCCAGAGCAGGCCCCGCTCTGATACCATGTTAGAGTTATAGACTCAGGGGAAAATCAACTCACAAGTGATATTCCAACACATGTGAGAGCCATTGGCTCTTACGTCCACTGTGACGCTTGTGAGTTCTCAACAGAACACTTCGGCACCATTCCCGTAAGATGCACTATAGACTTTATTGTTATTCTGATGGAAGGACACAGTTTTTCTAGGAAGCCATATGATTGTTCGGTTTATGGAGCGGTCAAATGGTGTGTAATGACATGTGTCCTAACAATAAATACGTTTGGGATGAGTGTCAATGCATTAATTCATGGATGGCTTCATAACGAGTCATTTGCTGGCTCCATAGAACTTTTGTGGAAAGACATTGAACTTTTTCTAGTCTATTGGCAATAAAAATCACTGCCAAATTAGTGGTGTAGTTCTCTTTGGTTGACACTGCTGCGACATTTTTCAGTACTTCACAGTTGTACTTTTGGCTCAATGTCTTTTGTACTTTGGTAGGACGGAGTTCTTAGCGAGACTGAGCTTGAAGATCTATTTTCAACTGCACCAGAGAGGTAAAATTTGTTTGCATAGAATGCTATTGTTTTTATGTTGTTAGTCATCAGATGATCAATATCCTTTTACGATTTTTTTTCCAGAACTCCTGTACATTTGCACAAGTAATTGATATCTTTTCCTTTGTATGTGCGATTTTTAATTTAACTTCGTTTTCATGATGTAAAATACAGTCCCTGGAACGAAGCTCCTTATAAGGATGCGGTCGAGAGAACTCCATTGCGTGGATTATCTCTTTCAGGATTTCTATCAGAGGTGGGTACATTGTGTTGCTTGTCTGGAAAATATGCTATATCTTCTTCACATAAGCTGTACGACAACCATTCCCCAATATGGAAATGAAAGGCAAGACGTTCCCCATTGTCATCAGATACTATAAGATTTTCCACATTTTACTAATAATGTAGACTACAAAAGCAGTATTTATCTGATGCATGAATTCAATTTAACGACAAGAAATATTCTTGCATGGAGTTACTTAAACAACTGAATTTTTACTGTAGAACTGTTGAAAATAACCCAATTTCTTGGATGTGCAACTTAAGTTCTTAATTGCTGTTTTTCTCCTCCCCCGTGTCCCTCTAGTGAAAAACATAAATCAACCAATATTCCAGTTCCAACGTTTTGTTCAGGAAAAGTGTAATCCTTTGCAGTATGGTACTTTTGCGGCATCTCTCTAATTTGGATATTACATTGCAGTGGGCTCTTATGACATCTCTGGATCCAGTTCAAAGTGTAGCAAACTTAATATATGTTGGCCACAATTGCAATGCATCATCAGCTCTACACATCACTAGGAGAAGATCATTAGATAAAAAGAAGCAACAAACTGAAAGAAATGTTTTCCAGTGCTATGTTTTCGGACCTAGCAAAGCTGGGAAGTCTGCACTGTTAATGTCGATGCTGGGAAGGTGTGGGGATAAGTTGTGTTGTTAGTTGTTACTATATGAGCCGTTTTTCTGACCCTCACTAACTGCAAATATAATTAACAACCTTATTGTTGTTTCTACTAATTACAGGCCTTTCTCTGAGAACTATACTCCGACAACTGATGAGCAATATGCTGTTAATGTCATTGATCAACGTTCGGTTAGTAAACGCAGGATCATGGAGATGAAAGATATTTCTAGCATGTAGAACAATTAACTTGTGAATGGTATCACTCTTTGACTACTGTCAATATTCCAAATTGCAGGGTAATAAGAAAACTCTTATACTTCGGGAGATTCCAGAAGATGGAGCTAAGAGACTCTTATCCAATAAGGAATATCTGGCTGCTTGTGATGTAGCTGTTTTCGTGTATGACAGGTCTGAGTGCATTGCAACACTTGTACTATTATCTGTATTCTGTACTTCTCTTTTATTTTTGTTATATTCTTTCCTTCTCCAGTGGGTTAAACGTAGAAAACTCGATTTGATATACCGACTGATATTTTCTTATTTTTATTTATTTATGTCTTTGGCAGCTCAAATGAATACTCTTTTAAAGGGGCGACAGAATTGCTCTCGCTCGTTGCCAGGCAAGGGGAAGAAAGTGGTTTTGGGATGCCTTGTCTCCTCGTTGCAGCTAAGAACGATCTCGACTCTAATGCAAAAGTGAACATAGACTCCGCAAAGGTCTAGTCAATTCCTCACTTTCTCCACTTTTATTTTTTATTTATTTATTATATGAAAATCATGACGGAATATGCTAACGATGAATTTG